AATCCACCCTAGACCTCTTATTTAGGTTCAACAATAATTCTTGTGCCAAAACAATAGTCTCAGTTACAAGTCTTCCTTCCACAAACCCTGATTAAGCGAAATGATATCAGGCAAAAGAGTCGCTAGTTGAGTAGCCATAATTTTTGCCGAACTTTTGTAGAAGACCTAACAAAGATTAATAGGCCTGAAATGTGCAAATGTCGTAGAATTATCCTTATTCGGAATAAGTGCAATAATCAAAGCTCCCAAATCATAAAATTTTCGAACCGCAAAAAGTAAATCTTCAAAGACAATATTCCAGGCAGGAATAAAAAGAGAAGAAGTAAATCCATCAAGGTCCATGGTCAAGTCTTCAAGTATACTCTGAACAACATCATGAAGCTCCTCAAGCGTGACTTCCTTAAGTAGCATCTCATTGTCAGCAGTAGTAACCACCAACTGAAGGATAAGATTCGTCATAGGCAGAAAATTCCTACATGGAGTCATGTCATTACTAAGATGTTGCGCAAAAAAATACACTGCAGCATTACTAATGTCTTGAGAATCTGAAATAGTTCCTATAGGCATATTGATAGATTCCACCATCACTTTCTTTTGCTTTTGTCTAGCAGATGCATGAAAAAATGCAATATTACTCTCACCTTCTATAAGCCATTTAACTCGAGACTGCTGTTTCCTTTAATTTTCTTTTTGAAGCAATAGACGATCATATAGTTGACGTTGATAATTCAACTCACCCACCACAGAATTATCAGTTCGTAGCCAATCTTCCTATAACCTTATTTATTGAGTATTTGCGCATATAATTTTGTGTTGAAGTGTAATAATGCAAACTCGAAGGTCGTTCCTACTCTTAGATGACACAACGATCTGGTTTAGTGGGTCTATCATTGTGACAAAACCAAAAAATGATACAATTGATTCTAAAGGATTTATTTAGCATTTGAAAATATTTACGTATAGTTCATAATGTTAGAATTTGGGTGTAACTCGAATTCCTTGTTAAAACAATTGAAGAATTCTAATTGAAGTGCACATTAAGGATAATTCAGTTTGGAATGCTATTGNCGAAGGGTTATGTAGAAATCAATATATAGGTTTTGTTAGAATTTGAGTGTGACTCGAATCCCTTGTTGAAATAATTGAAGAATTCTAATTGAAGTGCACATCAAGAAGAATTCAGTTTGGAATGCTATTGGAGTCCTATATCAAGTTGAAATTTTATTTTGGAAGCCCTTTGGGAGTTGTAATTTATTTTGGACTCAATTTTTTGGTATTCTATTTCATCAACAACTCCACTATGAGAGTTTGTACATCCTCTACATATTCCCTATAAGTACTGATCTCTTTTATACAATTTTATGGTATGAGAAAATAGATTACTAGAATTATAGGATCTATTGTAATTTTTCTATCTTTTTCATTATTTTTGAGTCTATAAAATCTCTTAATTCCTCAGTTATTTTCTTGTCTTTATTATTCTTTTATTTGATCATATATTTCATTATTATTTTTTATATAACTCCAACATCTCAATCCAATAGTTTGTTTCACAACAATTGGTATCGGAGCAATTCTGGTATTTTTGTTGATTTACAACAATTGTTATCAGAGCACCAGGTTCAACAGTTTCGCAAGATCACAAGGTTTGATTTGTTCGATATTTTTATTCGTGATAGCTTCCATGAAGTATGATGTTCCGCTTTTGGATCAGAGCACTAAATTTTTACTATGGCAGGTTAAGATACATGCAGTATTCACACAACTGGATTTGGATGATGCGTTATTGAGAATTGACAGGATGCTAGCAACTTTGACCGCGGAGGAGAAATTACGGAAGGATAAAAAGGTAATTTCTTACATTTATCTTCATCTATCAAATACTATTTTTCAGGACGTTTTGAAGAAGAATTCAGCAGCTGCTTTATGGTTGAGATTGGAGCAATTGTGCATAACTAAAAATCTAACCAGTAAATTGAACCTCAAGCAACGTTACTCTCATCGAATGGCAGAAGGAGGATCATTGAAAGATAACCTAACTATATTTAAGGAGATTGTCGCTGATTTGGAGACTTTGAAAATAGAGTATGATGAATAAGATTTGGCTTTGATCATATTATGTTCGTTGCCCGGCTTCATTTTCTTCATTTAGAGACACGATTTTGTATAGTTGTGATCCTCTCACCATAGAGGAAGTGGATAATGCTTTGTATTCAAAAGAGAAGATGAAGCATCTGGTTTCTGAGGTCAGAGATTGAAAAGGTCTAGTTGCTCATGGTGGTTCTGGAATGAGCGAATCGAAATCTAAGTTTAGTAATCAAATTTGTAACTACTACAAGAAGAAGGGACACTTAAAGAAAAATTGCTACAAATTGCAGAATAAAGAAATGATGGCTGCAAGTAGATATTCAGATACTTCAGGCAGAGCAGACCTCGTGGAGATTGTTGTAAGTTATGGGGAACTCTTAGCTAAATCTGATATTGAGTCTAAACCGGAAGATGATTGGATTCTTGATTAGCATGTGTATTTCATATGTGTCCTAATAAGGACTTGTTTAATACATATAAAACTGTTTCTAAAGATATCGTGGTTATTGAAAACAACGCATCTTATCGAGTTGTTGGAATTGACAGTCAGATTGAACTTTTGGATGGGACAATTAGAACACTTGACCAGGTTCGACATGTTCCAAATTTGAAGAAAAATCTCATCTCGTTGTCTATCCTTGATTCAAAAGATTATGAGTTCTTTTGTGAAGGTGGAATTTTGAAAGTTTGTAAGGGTGCCCAAATTGTATTAGAGGGACAAAAAGGTCTTAGTTATACATCTTGCAGAGTCGTGTAGAATTTAGAAAAGTCAATCAGCACAAGTTCAAGATCATGGTGAAGTTTGGTACAATACTTTAGGAACTCATAAATGGTCGAATTTGAATAATACAGTTTAGTGGAGTTCAAGAGATATAGATAATGTCGATTTGCCACCATCATTTGCGGTGCCATCGTATTCAATTGGTAGGGACGGACCCAATAGAAAAGGGTATGTGAATGCTGATTTGGTTGAGTATGCTTTAAGTGGAGTAGAAAGCGTGCAATCTAACAGATGACTTTCTTTGAAAGCATTTGATATTTATTTTGCTTTGGGGGTGTTACAGTCAATTTTGGTAAATTATAAAATCAACATGATTTTTTGAAATTTGAAGTAATTCTGTAGAGTAGTGATTGGATTCATTGGAAGAGGTAGAGTATTTTGTGTTTGGTTTGAGAAATTAATTTTTTGGTTATTGTGGAGGAAGTCAGTTCATTACTCGGTGGAATTCGTGTCAAGGTGGAGATTGTTAGAATTTGGGTGTGACTTGAATTCCTCGTTGAAGTAATTGAAGAATTCTAATTGAAGTGTAAATCAAGAATAATTCAATTTGAAATGTTATTGGAGTCATATGTCAAGTTGAAGTTTTATTTTGGAATCCCTTTGGGATTTGTAATTAGATTCAATTTGTTAGTACTATATTTCATCAACAACTCTATTAGGAGGGTTTGTACATCCTCTACATATTTCCTATAAATACTAGACTCATTTATACAATTTTATTGTTTGAGAAAATAGATTATTAGAATTATAGGATCTATTGTAATTTTTCTCTCTTCTTCATTATTCTTGAGTCAATAAAATCTCTTAATTCCTTTACAATATTCTTGTCTTTATTATTCTTTTACTTGATCATATACTTGATTATTATTTGCCATATAATTTCAACATCTCAATCCGGTGATTTGTTTCACAATAATTGATAT